AAGAAAAATAAAAACGAAGAGCTATTACCTCCTCGCTTACTTTTTCAGCGCTGGCATAATGGTGCCGCTGGGCGCCGTTGTTGTTTAACACACACACAAAAACAGACATACTAATGCAGACACACAATGCAGACATACAATGCAGACACACTAAATTTGACTCAACTAAATTTGATGTGCTCTGCTCTGCTATGTCTCTCGTCAAAGTGAGAGCGATAGCAGTAGCATAGCAATAATCTGTCGCGAGAGCACGAACGAATGCCCATGCAAAGACTGCGTATAGCATGCAGCGCTCTCGCATACCTATACACTCTGAATACACATATAGGTATGTAATCTCGTCTGTCGCGAGAGCACGAACGAATGCCCATGCAAAGAGCGCGTATAGTATACATATATTATACAAATACCCGCGGAGTATATCTGTGTAAAATCTCATCTGTCAGATCGGCTGAAAATGCTCACCCAAAAAGTGCCTAACGCGCCATAAGAAGTTTTCACTTCAAAAATAAACAATATTGACGATTATAGTGTAAATATGAAGTTGTTACTAGATCAGATATGATCGCGAGCCATTACAAGTGACTGTGTAAATTGGAGGAACGCAGAAACAAATACATACGAAACCATACCAAAAAAATAAAATTATTTAATTTTATCAAAATATACCAAGGAATATTTGCATAACTGTGGTTAATTAGGAACATTTCGAGGCTGCATATATATTAACCAGGGTCTAATGCGATCCGTGAATCGTGCTTTAAATAGCCTTGTTCTAAATTAAGAAGTTTTTGAACAAAAAACGTTCAATAAATGGAAAGTAAGTGTTATTTGTGGACAGTATGTGAATTAAATTTGGCAGTTATTTTTTGATCTGTACTTGTTCCATAGATGGCCATGAGTCTCTTTGCTTAGACTAAGGTTTTTCACCGTAATTGAACATTACAAAAATACTAATATATACAATATAAACGTTTTTTTATACAAAAAAACAGATTAAAGATCTTTTCCATTTCACAACAAAGAATTTTACATTTTAAAATTGTATCTTATTTTACAATAATTTTAATCATTAATAATAGATTATATTTAAAAAATATTTATTTTTTACTTACCTAAGGCAATCATCCAAATGATTAAGATAATTAATCGTGTAACCGTTCTGGTCTTCATATTCGGTATTAAATCGTTCTAAATCATTTTGGAAAAAGCCAAACACGGATTGTACAACGCATTTCTCAGTTGTTGGCTTCTCGCCGGGATATAATACGGGTGCATAACAAACTTCATGCAATTGAACTCCTCCGTTCAAACCGATATCTTCAATTTCTTGCTGTAATCTGAAAACTTCTAACATAAAATTTTTTTCGTAAGCTGGTCCAAAAGTCAAAACCATATTTTCTGTCTCGTGTGTAAACTAAATAAAAGATAAATGTTAAAAAACTGCCACTTATATTAGGTTCTTAAAAAGTATCGAAAGTAATATAGATTTACCGTAGCTGTATTTTTTGGTTTGAGAAATATTTGATTAGTCCGATAGAAAGGACTAAAATGTGAATCAAAATAATCTTTATTAACGCGTGTGTCACTTTCTTCATTCGCCCACAATTCTACAGGATCTGTTATAACTTCCATATATCTTATGCCATAAGCAAGTCCACCGATTACCCAGGAACAAATTGCAAGAACTAATACTGGATGTTTTGCGCAAAATGTGCCCCATGCCTTAAACATTTTATACAAAATTTTATTTACGCCACTATATCCACTTAACCATACTGGTAAACTCCATTTGGGCAAACAAATATTCATAAAATCGAAGAAAATCAAAACGATTATAAGAACGCCCACTACTAAAGCGATTATAAATGTTACACCATATAAGCCAGCTATTAAAAATCCATCTTCCAATCCGGTTGGCTCATTACCAATTGGACAAGAGTCACTACAATCAACACATGAGCAAGCATGCGAATTCTCATAAGATTGTGAACAATTTAATGGATACAGTAGTAATCGTCCCTCCTCAGATGTTTCATCCAAAAATTTATAATTAATTGGAAAAGGTACAAACTCATTTATACTTTGATCTCCCATGAAGTTGTACCATTTCCTGTGGTCACATGTTTTAGCATTATAGGGACCGCATGCCAAATCCAAAGCAGGTCGTCCAGTTTGTGTATGTTGTATGCCTTTGCAGTTATCATATACTTTTTCAGAAAAGGCATCATCAATTTTATAATCTATTTCCGCAACATACTTATAGTTTCCATCTTCTTTATTGAGAGGAATTAAAAATTCTGTTTGATTTTGTCCACAAGTCATCCAACAAATTGATAAAGCCATGTTGAGCACACATGTTGGACAACGCGCATATATACCATCTGCCTGAGTCATGCCAGCATCCATGGTGTAAATTTGAGCTGCATCGCAGCATAATTCTATTTCTGTGAAAATAATAATAGGACTTTTATTATAAAAAGTAACACTTTGCAATGATTAATACAATAATGATAAATAATAATTAATATAAATAATAATAATTTTAAATATTTAAATATTTGTTAACGAGATTTTCTATGCACTTGGATACCATCCAACCTATTTTGATAAAACTTTTATGAAATAATACTCAATGAGAGGAATTTATTAA